CATAGCATTTTAAGGTGCGCTCTAGGAAGCCTCGAGTTGTTTCTTTAGAAATGTAAAGTAGCAAAATCTTTTCAGCTGTGAAGTTGTCTGTGTGCTCACATAAAGATGTGGTCAGTGGCTTTCTCCTGCAGTAAATACTGGCCTCGTATGAGTGATGGAGCACTTGCTGGTTACATGCTGTATTCTCTGCTGGTGATGGAGCTCTTGCAGCCCCTGCTGTAACCTCTGTAACCATTGACTTTGGTAGGGTTTTTACTTAAATTCCGTGACTGGTCATAAATTTCCATCACAAGTATCTCCATGAAAGAAAATGGGATTTTTCAAAGACCACTGTGCCTTTGGAGAAGACAATTAGAAAATATTAAAAATAAAGTCTTATCAAAATAAAATAATCTTTCTTAGCTGGCTTTGACTGGTTATTCTCAATGGTCAAGTCTCCCATTTGAAGAACCAAGTGATGTCCCTCTTGCATGGTTTTACGCTCTTGATCTGTGGTGTGATTTATAATCCAGACCATGAGAAATTTTCTTTGTTTATGTTTCTAAAAACCAACAATTTGTGGTTCCCTGTGCTGCTGTGTTAGCACTTAGACTGTGGGTTCTATCATCTAGTGCCTTGTCCAACAGTGACAGCTTACACTGCTCTCCTCAGCAGTGCAGACCACCTTCGGCTCTGCCTTGGAGCATCACAGCCCACCTGTGTTCTTTCTGTTAGATCCTATTTTGTCTGGGTTTGTTAAGCCCTTTCCCTTCCTCAGTGGCTGCTGGCAGTGGCATGACTGCAAAGGATAAGCTGCCATTCCCCAGCATGTCTCTGTCCCATCCCTTTGCATCACCTCCTTTCCCATTTAGAGCAGCTCCTGGTGCTGGAGGATCAGTGTGAGGCAGCAGAAGAGACTGATGTTTGCCAGCCCAGTGCTCATACTCCCTGTGAGTGCAGTGAAGACATGGCCTCTCCCTAAGCCTCGGCATCTCCACGTCTGTGCTGGAGGCACCAACAGCACGGTGACTTGTGGCCCCTCTGTGAGATCTGGCCAGATCCCCACATGGGAAACACCATGCCAGGACCAGCCCAGATTGAGAGCTGGAGGAAGATCATGTATGAGAGTTCGACAAGCAGGGAGCCAGGTGGGGGTGGGAAGGCTCTGCTTGGCTGTGCTCCAAAGGAAGGAGACCCACGCAGCTGCCGTCCACGTTGGGTCACTGGGAACGTGCCTCTTTTCACCAGGTAGTGATGGGAAAAGGAGAGTTCCTGCCTTCCTTGCCTCCCTGTCAGCACCTGTGTGTAAACACCTTGGATGTCCCTGGGGTGCTGTTCTTCTTCCCTCTGCTCCTCAGTCCTTCCTTGACTCGTGTTTGTGGTCTTCCAGACACCACTGCTGCTCTTTTCCTCGTGTCCTCCACTGTGCTGCCAGTCTGTCCCCACAAGGATGCCAACCCCAGTTCTCCCCTGGCAGATCAGGTCTCTGTGGTTCCCCCCAATTTTTCTGTGTGCCCCTCACTTGTCCAGTGCATTGCGCAAGTTTGGATGTTGTGGGGGAAGTCTGGAGCATCCCCCTGGCTGCAGCTCAGCAGCAATGCTGGGCACAGGCAGGGACAGAGGATGACCTTGGTAGATTTTGGAAAGGTGCCCGAGACCTGCTGTGACGCCACTCATGCCTCTGAGGGAGCCCGCAGCAGCACGTGTTGACACTGAACCCAACCACAGGAAGATCAGGAAATGCAAGAACACTTGTTGCTGAGGGAAGCTGGACTTGGCCCTTGCATGAATTCGCTGAGCTCTGCAACAGAGGCCCATGAAAGAAGCATTTCCTGCTGCAGCAACATCACCCATTGCCCTCCCTATGCATCACCTTGTGTGGGTCATTTCAGGTTCATTTTTGTCTGATGAAAGCCCCAGCTGCACCTTCTGCAAGCAGTTTCTGGCTAATTCACTTGAAGGAAAACTTTGTCCTTGGTGGAAACACCCTGCCAAGTGGGAGGGACACACTCCTGAGGACCTGCTTCCTTCAGCAGTCAAACTGTGCCAGCAGTGTGAGGTCAACAAAAATAAGCACAAATGCCCCCCACCCCCCTCCCAGGACTCAGCAGAATAACATGGGGACTACTCTCGCCTTCTCAGTATTTGGTGAAGAGGGAGAAAGTTCCCCCCTACCATTTTCACCTGTACCATTCCCTGCCCCTCTCAAGACAAAGAGGCAAAATTTAATCCTAACCCTCTTTTCCTATCTCATTCCTGTGCCTTCTGAGGGCTTCTTACGAAAGAAAAAACACATTCCTTCCTGACATATACATGTACCATGCTGGAGTCAGTTTTGCCACTGGCAATGGCCACACACAAAATGTGCCCTTCACTGACCACTACAAGTCAAAAGCACCATGTGTGCCAGACAGGGCTTATCCTCCACTGGAGTGTCTTACAGATGGAGGGTGAAAGGCTCATTCTTCATCAGCGTTATAAAAATATCAAGTTTCTGGAAGTGACAACACAGGCAGCAGTGGGGGGGACACTGGAAGAACAGCTGTGCAAGGCTGGGGATGAACATGCTCCCGGCTGCGTTTGAATTGGAGCCCCACCACAAAAACCAAAGGAAAAAGTACAAGGTTTTGGAGGTAGCTAACCTTGGTCACAGCCTGCAGCTGGGCTGGTGCCTGAGCTCCTGTGGAGGACACGTGGGGTGCAAAGACCTGTCTGGCCCTTTGCAACCGTGGCGTCAGCCTTGCCCCTCACACCTGCTGAGGCCATGGGCAGTGCTGCGGCTGCAGCCATGTGAGTGTGGAGCAGGTGGCATTGGCAGGAAAACTCCTCAGGGATGCCAAGGACTCAGCAGGTCCTGGCCCCCCCAACTAGTGGTGTTTTTCCACCTCTCAGTCGTGGCATGTCGGCAAGTGCTGGGACACGGGGAGGCACCCGCTGTTGGCAGCGCCCATGCCATGTGTTATTCAATCCCAATTATCACAAGTCTCCAGGAGACTCTGGGGTAGGGGGAGATCCTCTCCCGTTGAACTAAAGGCAGGCTATTTTGCTGGACCTGTATTTTAAACACAGTCCAGAGAATGACTTTTCATGTTTGCATAAGGCTTTCCTCCAGGCACCAGCCCCTTTGTACTCCCTGAACAGCCCAACTCGATTCAGACACTGCTGCTGCTGCTGTCACAGACTGAAAGGCCCAAGGCTGAAGTGTGGCATTTTCTACCCGAGCTGTCTCCTCCTTTCAGGCGGAAGCCCGCCTTCTCGGTGACTCAAGTTGCAAGTTTCCTTCTTAATAACGGAGTCCCCTGTGACGAATGTCTAAACAACACCCCCACGCCCCTTGCTTCGGAGGTTTCAGGAGACAAGTCCCATCTTGTTGCCATGCCTTGCTGGAGCAAGCTGCTCTGGGACCGACTCGGTCACTGTCCAAACATCTGACAAACTCTCCCACACGCAGGCACTACCCCACGCTGGCCCAACACAGGGCTCCAGGCCGACAGAAGGCAGAGCCCCTCCCTGCACACTGCACTACATGGGGTTCAGCTCCCTACACTCTTCCTGCTCCCTGAGACAGCACAGTAACAAATACCTCGGAAGGAACAAGGCTATACTAAACCTCTTGCCTAATCCCTGCCCAAACTATGCAGCTATCAGCTGTAAACCAACTCCAGGCCCTACCTGTGCCCAAAACGGGAAAGGCTCCATGCCTGCCTGCGTCACAGCTGAGCAAATGCAGGGCAAGGATCAGGAAGGCACATAGTCACCCTCGATTTTCCATTTCCAAAAACATGTCTAAGGGCAAGTGTTTGTGCGTGCTTTAGATAAATGATTACAAGGGGTTTGAGACACAAAGGGGAAAAAATAGTTTTGTTGCCTAGTGGAGTGTGACAGTCACGCGGCACACAGTAGGCATGAGCATCAGCCCAGCTCCTGGGGCTCACAAAACCAAGGGCACAGTGAGCTCTCCCAGGAGGAAATTTAGGCTAGAGGGGCTGAGGGGGCAGGGGTAAGGATGCTAGAGGGAGTACGCTCCAGTTCTTGTTTAGTTTCAAGGACATTCAGAGCAGCTCCCTTCAACAGCTTTTTAAAGAGGCAGCATGGGGAAATTAAGGCACCCCTCAAGCAGGAGGCAGCAGGAGGAGCGTGGTGGGGCTGGAGAAGCTGGGTCACACAGACAGTGGCACACATGGGGCATGACATGCATTTCGGCACCTTCCTCAGCCATCTCATCTCCTTTTGCCAAAAAGGAAATGCCCCCTTGAACAGAAATCCTGATTGAAACCAAGCAGTGAGAGTTTACAAAAAAGAGAAACAAAATCCAACCACTATTATTGCTGCATGTTCTTATATCCAGCTGCAAGCCCACCCCACTATGGGAATTCACCTTGCATAAACATTCACAGCAGGGAGGAGAGAGCCTACACATGTACTTTGATGTTCCCTTTGCTTAGCAACCCAGGGACCCCAGGATCAACAGAAACCGGTTTGTGCAGAGGGGAAAGAAATCGACCCAATATCAGCAACTCTCTTCAGGAAGCACTGCCATAGGGAGCTTCATCTACCCCATGTAGTGACACCAGAGGCCTCCTAACTTGGCCTCATAGGCGATGGTCCTAGTGAGCTGCCACACAGTTTGGGTATTTTTGGAACTCTGCTGCTTGACTGAAGGCTCCCAAAGCAGCACACTAAAGGCTCCCTCCTCTCCCCCAGGGAGGCGAGCCAGCTCTCCTCCCTCCGCTCCAGGGAGCTGAATCATGGCAGGACCAGGGATGGCCAGGCACATTGCCACTTTTTCCTATGTGCTGCTATTCTTGGCAGCAGGAGAGGTCACTGAGACAGCTGTCCTGGCCCTGTTGCACAATCCTGGGCATCACTGAGCTATTCCTAATACTGTGAAACCAGGGCCTTGCCTGCAAGGCTGACACTGAGCACCAGTTCATCCAAAGGCAGCTGTATCCCTCCTTACCCAAAACCAGGCACAACCGAGGTGTTCTCTCTGCACTGAGCACACACCACACAACAAACAGTTATTATATCATGCTTTTAATACAAACTTAAAAAAATCTGGAACAATAGAAACTGTACAGATTTGATCAACCTTTTTGTGGGTTTTTTTGTTTGTTTTTAACTAAATCTCTAGACACACCAATATCCCGTTCCAAAATATTGCACAACATTCTGAATACAAAACTCTGATTGTATTCCTCCTTCGCTAAAGAAAAAAAAAAAAGAAGAAAAAAAAAAGAAAAAGACAGCAACCCCCTGGTTCCCCCTCTCAGTAGTCCCCTTTTCCAAAAAACCCCAAGCAGAGCACACGCAGAAACCCTCTACTCAGAGACATACAGACTTCTATCCTCTTTCACTCCTCTCCCACAAGGCAACTGTTGATTCACTCCTTGGAGAGGGGCGGGAGGAAAGGGAGGCTGAGTGGGGAGAAAGGAATCTTCACCACTTCTTTTTTTTTTTAAAGTTTTTTCCTGAAAAAATATTTTTTCTCTCCTCTTTTTAAGAAAAAATCTTGAAAAGAAAAAAATTACATTTTTTTACGTTAGAAATATACATATATTATATATACCTCTTACATTTTACAAATGTAGCAAATTATTCAATACAAACGGACATCAACAAAAAGAACATAAACCCATAAAAAATAAAAGTTAAAAAAAAAAAAATCTCTCTTCTCTTCCTAAGAAACCAGGTAAATTAGTGCAGGTTTTTAAAAAATAAAATTGAAGCTGAACGCCTACATCCAAGACTAGAAAAGACCTGAAAAGGCCATTAGTTTCCATTGCTGCCTGATGCTGGAGGAACATTTCTGAAGCACACTTTTTTCCTTTTAAGATGCAAAGAGGTTGGTCCCTCTTCTTTTCCTCCTTCCACTCACACCACTATTTTTAAAGCAGGTATAATACGTGTGGCAGGGCAAAGCAGCATCAAAGCTTCACACACATAAGCAGTGGACAGGGGACATCCCCACTTCTTCCCTCCCTCCCTGTGCTGGAGGAGAGCAAGCTGTCTCACAGCAGTGGCTCACAGGTGACTTTGCCAGATGTGGGGATAGTGGGGGGAAACTGGACCAGGTCCTGCCATCAGGGGCTGAGCACCCCTAAGAGTCCAGTGCAGAATGTGGGGTGGCATCCAGAGCACCCTGTTGGGGAGGAGAACTTCACGGCAGTGGTAGCTTCCATTAAAAGCAGTGGGTTCAAAGGAAAGAAAAAAGGGAAACACAACAGCCAGGCCATTCCTCATCGATTTGTCTTAGTCTGGAAACCTGCAGGGTTGAGGCTGGGGGCACCAGCTTTGGGAAACTGGCTGGGCTCTGCTCTCCTCACCCAGCTGCTGCATTGGTCATAGCTCAAGAGCAAGCAGCCTGCTTGGGAACCCATGCTGGGCACATGGTCAGGACTGTACACCCCATCACCCAACAGGGAAAGGTGCACTGGAAACTCTCCCTGGAGAGCTCTTGGGCTCAGGCAGTTTCCCTGGGACAGACCATTACCTTCTACAAATGCTCACTGGCAACACAACTACAAAAGGGCTAGAGTGCCTCTGTCTCAGGGAAGGGGGCAGGAAAAGCTCATGGTCAAACTCATCTCACCTGAAACAGATTTCTTGAAAGAGCACATTGGTTCCACAAGTGCAGGAGGAATGGATTTCAGACTGTGCTCCAAGAAGCATCATTAAAAGAAAACCAAACCTCAAGTTTGGGAAGCAGCAAAAGCTTATTTTTCATTTAAACTGAGAACTTCAAAGACTGGAGCTTCATCACGTCCATCTCTCTCCTCTTTGCACACTTCCATGACCACACAGCAGCCTCCAAGGAGACCACCCTTCCCACCTAAAAAGCCACCACCCTTTCTGGGCATGAAGCAGCCCTCCTTTAGCTTTCTGTGAAGGTGAGTTTTGGAGTCCTCAACACAGAAGGGATCAAGCTGGACAGCCACTACTGCCTGACTGCAGCACATCACCCTGGAGAAAGCTGCAGAGTCCCAGATCCCATCCCTGCTGTGAAGAGGCACCATACATTTACAGGCTGAGATGACCACTTGCCTTTGGAGAGCCCATCCCAGCTCTGCCCTAAGCTTACTGCTGTCCATGCTGATGTGATCTGGCTGGAATAAGGAATTTAAGATAGGTGCTTCCTTTTCTCACTGGATCAGCTACCTCCTCACGCTTCTCCAGAAAGGCAAGGGAAGGGATTTAGTCAGGTGCATACCTGTCTGAAAGCATAAACCCTTATGCTACCACTCAAGACAGCAGCTTCAACAACATCACCCTATCTTCCTGAAAAGTTGTGCTGCCTCACTAAATAAAAAGGAAGGAATTTCCTCTCTGAGACAAGAAGATGAATTCACAGCAGATAATGAGAACTCTGACCTCAGAGGCCACCCCAAGTGGATGTTGGCCCCTGCTGCTGGGGAGGACATCTGGGAAGTGGGGGCAGGATCCAAGTGGGGTCCAGCTGGTTCAGTGCCACCTCCCCCAAGCCAGAGAGGCAGGCGGTGTTTCTACACCACAGGGGCTGTCATCCAGCAGACCGGGCAGCCTTGAGAGAGCATAAAAAGGCCCTCTTGCTCAGGTACATAAAGGTCCAATAACCAGAGCCACTAAGCTCAAAGAGCTGTCTGTCCCCCTGTAGCCACAGCTGAAGTGCAGAAGAGGAAGGGAGCAGGAAGAAGCCATTTCACAGTAATGCTCTGCCCTGACTGTGACGTGCTGGGAGATGGTCAAGGAGACGAGTTAGTGCTTTTCAGCACACAGACAGAACAGCTGATGCCAGCTTGGGCTGGAGCCACAACAACACAATAGTCTGCACCCGTGGGCACAGGCAATGTTCTCCGTCTACATGCGGAGCTATAACAGAAAAAGCAAGCTCACCCACCCATTCTGGCTAGCATGCAACAAGAGTGTGTGTCCCCACCAACACTGACTCATCCTCTTCTTGTCCCTCCTCCAGCACAGTGGTATGAAGATGATATCCCTACACCCAGGTAGAAGGACCCTGTGGCCAGCGTGGGGCAGAGGGTGGTGCAGGGAATCAGGAACTTTGTGACCTACAATTGCACCCGTCCTGGGCTGGGGTGGGGGAAGGGGGAACACAAACAAAAAAAAAAGCCCAAGACTCATTTTAAGGAGTAAAAAAGTGAGTAGGAAAAAAGCACAGGTACTGAGTTAAAAAACAATTCAGTGCTTCAGGAGCGTTACCAGCACAGCGCAACAACACTGAGCTCTCTCTTTTCCCAAGAACCTATATTTGTAAGGTTTTAATATTTTCTGTATATTTCTATTTTTCTTTTCTCTCCCTCTTGTTTGTTTTGTTCTTGTTTCCCCCCTCCCACCCTGCCCCAAAATACTCTCCTTCCTTTATATTCAGTTGGCCAGAACGACAGGCTGGAACGACTGGCTAGGATACTGCATGGCATTCAGGTTGTAGCTGAGTCCTTCCACGAAGGGAGACTTCTCCAAAAAGAGGCTATTGGTGCTGCCACCGAAGACCTGAGCCATATCAAAGGTACCACCTGTGCTGGCGTTGAACTGCGATGCTGGCGGGATGCTGCTGGCCTGGCTCTCACTGGCAACACCATCGAAGAAGAGACTGCTGGCTCCTGGCGAGGCGCCACTGTAAACGAACTCCTTGGCATTGGGGGAGAGCTGTGACTGTGGGGCTTGGCTCCCAGCGCTCCCGACGAAGTTCAGAGAGTGCATAGACAGGGAGAGGCCCTTGTGCTTCAGCAGGTTGGTGGTGGGAGACCTGACCATTCTCGGCTGCTGCACAGCCCCTGCTCCACCGCCCCCTCCTCCGGCTCCTCCACCCTTCTTCATCTTGGTTGAGCCGAACTTGGTGGCAGCAAAGGTGGCAGTGGTGAAAGTGATGGGCTGTGCAGAGCGAGGGATGAAGGTGGGGCTGGGTGACTGGCCAAAGGAAGGGGACGGAGAGTTGGACAGCGAGTTGTCCTGGCTGCCGATAGGGACAAATACCTGGGCGTCGGGGTTGAAACTGCTCTTGATTTCTTTGTCCAGCTCTGTGGCACTGCAGCCCTCACTGTCATCTAGGTAGAGAACCTTAACAGAGCCCTTCTCACCGATCTGGTAAGAAACCTCAAAAGGATCGATCCAGACGCTCAGCTCTTCTGGCACATTGGCACGCACATCCTCCACAGCCAGCCCACTCCGCTTGGCCGCCAGCTCCACCACCGGATCCACCGTCTCCCCTATATGAACACAGCGATAGCCAGATCCCTTCAGAGGTTTCTCTGGGTACCAGTGACCCTCATACTTCTTCTTCAGCAGGCGCTCTAGCTCCTCACCAAACAGGTCTGCCCGCCTCCGAGGAAGCTTGTTGTACAGGTATGAGATGATGAAGTTAAGAGCAACTTTGATCTCCAGATGCATACTCTCTTCCCAGCAAGCAAGTCAGGGCCGTGTATTAAAAGTGACAAAATGACAGAAACATAGACAACTTTTGACTCCAAAGAGACCTAGGGAAAGAGAGAAAAGGATAGGTGAAGACAAGAGAAGACAACAACTCTCCACCTGTTGAGATAAACAGCTGTGCATTTTCATGAACAAAGGAGAATGAGCAGTTTGCACAAATACTAACAAGAAGCAATATTCTCTAGGAGAGTCACCACAAATGTCCTCAAAACAGAGGGATGCTGATAGGGAGAACTCTCCCTACTCCTCTTTTGAAAGAAATAAGGGAGTAGCCACTGCGCACACACAAGTACGTACATCACACTCACCTCGCTGCCAAGCACTGCTGCTGTAACCCAGCAGGCCACTGTCCGCTCTGGCAGAGCTCTGTCAGCACATCTAACAGGCCTCTCCTGCCCTGGCACTCGGCTGCTTCCAGCACGGCTCACCTGCACCAGCCTCTCAAGAGCACAAGTGCAGCACCTGAACAGCCTCGTGACTTGCTCAGCAGCTTTGTGCAGAGACCTGCTCGCGCTCAGGACGCCAGGGCCAGCCTCTCCTCTGGGAGGCTGGGTGGTTGTGCCGGGTGCCACGTCCTGCTGGCACAAGCACAGAAGGGACGAGAAGGAGAGAGGGAGGGTGCTGGGGCACCAGCTGCCAGCCCGTATTTATTATCCCCTTGACTGGCAGGCACATATCTTATTAAGTGTACCCAGTTGAGACTCTGCCTAGCTACAAGCATAAAATCTCAGTTTAAGTCTGCTGAGGGGGGAGAGTGGAGCAGTAAATCTGCATAGGGTCACAAAATACACACATGCCAACAGCCTGACCAGTGCAGGTCACATCGCTTACCCAGGCACAGAGGAAAGATGAGCTCGGCCAGGATCAGGTGCCTACTTAATAAAAACTGAAATTGCTTACCAAAGATCGAAGTAATCCTCCCTCCTCTCTCTCTCTCTGTCTTGTGAGGAAGTCTCCAAAATGGAGACAACCCACAAAAGCAAAGTGCAAAACTGCAACACTCAACTCTCCCATTATACAAAGATTTGCAAACAATGTTTGTCTGGGTACAAAAAAAACCCCAAACCAGGTATGTCAGCACTACGCTCTGTCACTCATCCAAAGAAGATGAATCCCACAGACATTTTAAGAGGAAGCACACTTCTAGTAGCCTCCACACCTCTCCAGGGGAAAGAAGAATATCCAGTTTTTAATTGGCAGCTTAGTCAGAGGCTGCTTTGTCTCCAGCTGCCCTCACCTTGCCCAAAGAGACACACTGTGCTCAACCATCTTCCTAAAATGGGCTTTAGGGATATTCTTGCACAGCACTCAAGCCAATGGTTATGATGTGTGACAATTATTTGGGGGTGGGGATGGAGTACAAACATACATAGTCAGCATTCCCCTGAAAAATCCCAGCAGCACAACCAGGTATCCATGCTGGCCTATGTCAGGAGGAATTAAAAAACTGACCAGACTTGTTTGCTTGGTCTAGTTCAGTGGACAGGAAGGATCAAATAATTTTAAAGAAGCCCTCAAATATTTTGAGGCTTTACTGCAAAAACGGGATGCAGATTCTATGCTTTTTCTGTGCTACTCTTCATTCACAGAAGTTTAGCTTTAGGAAGATGGTAACCAGAAACAGATCCCACACCTCAGATCTGCCAACAAGGAGGCCAGTTCTGGAAGGAACCCCCTTTGGGTTTGACTCAGGAACATAAAAACACATAGCAACAAGGGAATGGAAAAGAAGTCTTGCCTTTAAAACTTTCTTTAAGGAATTACTGCAATGTAACAAACTTTGGTACGTCACTGCAACCTGACCAAGTCCAAGTAAGAACAGATGAACACTAAAGAAATAAGCAACCACAGTTGTTCTAAGAACAGTTAAGAAGCCATTTTCAGAGGGCAAAAATCTTGGCACAGAGACAGAGCCTTTTCCACAGAAATTAAGTATGAAGCAAACCCCTAAAGAGCACAGCTAAACCCTAACAAGAGTATAGACTATACTACCTCAAGGGAGGATTACATGGAGCTCTCTAACTTCTTTGGCTTTGAGACATTCAAAAGAGAAGACACCTTGAGATCGCAGGAAGAGAACAGCCAGTTTGTAAGTCTTTTACCTTGTGATAAATTCTAATCCAGATCCAAAAACTATTAAGAAATCAGATATTAAAGACTGGGAAAGGAACAGTGGCCAAAATTTGTTAACATCTTATTTGCTATACAAGTGTCTCATCGAGGATCCCATTGCAGAAAACAGTGAGGAGGTACAATTATACATTATCTCCTTTTTTCTTTTTTCCTGTTTTCCTAAAAAGAGAATACTCTGTACCTTGTTTATGAAAAAAGATAAGTTAATTAGCCTAATAACACCAACAGCGGCCAAGGTAGTGGCATACAACCGATACCTGCTGAAGGCACAAAAAAACTGTGACTGGCTCCTCAGGTTGTTGACATGGTAAGACGTGCTCCAGTAGGATCCCCTCAATCTCTTTCTACTGCACTGAAATGTGATAAAATAATTAAAAAAAAAAAATTCGAACCCACCGAAATCCAGCTGAAGCAGCATGGCCTGGAGAGAAGAAATTACTGAATATCAATTGTAAGGGATATTCTGAGCAGTCTCCCATAAAGGCCAGCATTTTCAAAGTAAAGGCTTACTGTACATGAACAGAACATCGAGGTGCTGGCAGGGAACAAAGAGCTGTTTCTCTGCTCTGCAGAGGGAAGGCAAGAGCCACCTCAGACTCCCTGTTTATCGGTATGCTTAAAGGAAGAGGCCAGACCATCACTCGCAACACAGAAGAGCGAATGCAGGAACGATTCCCTCTCCTCCTGGTTACACCAACACGGTGGGTGACCTTGCGGGTATCCCACTTCGAGCTCCCGAAGGAGGCCTGGCCCTGGGAATGGGCTGGCCGCCGTCTCGGGACTTAAACAGACGGCTGCCACGGCGGCCTGCGGTCCCACAGCCGGACACACCCGTCTGGAACGAGAGCGCCCTTCCCAGCACCCCGCCAAGGGCGGCGGAGAGCCTGCCGCCCGTCAGACGAACGACCCCGCGGGGACGAGCCCCGTCGCCCCCTCCATCCCCGGTGCCCGGCCTGTCCCGGCACGCCGGGAGCTGTAGTCCTCGCCCCCCCTCTCCGCCCCGCGACCTACTTCTCCCCGGACTGCGGCTCCCGGCGCGCCCCGCGCCCGGCCCGGCGCGTCCCCCGGCGGGGCAGGGCACAAAATTTTCCAGGGCACATGCGCGCTGGGGCCCGCCCGCCCTTCCCGACGCTGCCCACGGCCGGGAACACGCCCCGCGGCCCGGGACCGCCGGGCAGCCGCCCCCTTCTCCCCTTCCCTTCCCCTCCCTCTCGGCAGGGATGGGCGGGCGCGTCCCCACCCCGCAGCTGCTTCCCCCCCCTCGGCTGCGGGACGGAACCCGGGAGGCCAGAAGCCCAGTATCCTTCTGTCCCTCTCCCCTGTGCCCCGCTGCTTGCCCCCTTCGCCCCAGTGGGGCACGCGAGGTCGCAAACAAGGTTCCCAACAGAGCGGTCGGATGGATGGGGATGTGTCATCAAGGGCGAGTTCCTGGCCCCACACACCCAGAGGGGCACGGCAGATCGGGGTGTCCGGGGGAGATGGGGGGGGGGGGGGGGGGCCCCCCC